GGGGGGGGGGGGGGAGAGAAGCTTGAGAAATGGCTCCTAGTACAGTTTTGCTCCTCACACAAAACAGACAGAACACAGACATTTATAAAGACAGGATATAGACATTTATAAAGACTTTAGGATCAGCTGTTAATTTGAAAGCATAAAGGAAATCAACTAGGTGTGACGGTTGCCTCTGTTACCTCTTCACTTGAGAATCATAAATCATAAAATCATAAATTCACTGACAGTCAACTTGGGCTGCAGAGTGAATTTGAGGCTAGCCTCAAAATACAAAATCAAACAAACATTCTACAACTGGAGCAATCATGGCCACGTGCATTCTCTTGAATTAGTTTAAACCATCTTACCTGCGTAAAGAGTATGAACTGAGCGAACTGCCAGGGAAGCATAAAGGCCACATTGGAGAGACAGAGTGCTAGGTAGTGTTTTCTGTGGACGGTGGAGGTCCTTGACGGAGGGAAGCAACACCAGTAAGTTCTGCTGTGAAGACAGCCGGTAACTCAAAAACAACACAGCCCTTGCTGACCACAGAAACCTAACTCATCTCCTTACCTTTTATGTAACACAACAAAATTCAATTTTGGAAATCAACTTGCCAAAATTATTTAAAATGCTTGAACAATAGAAAGATTAAATAAAACAAAATTAGATATTTAGAAAGAGTATTGAGCAATTTTTTTCAGTAAACTTAATTATTTAAATACAACTTTAGTTCCTTATTTAAAAAAATGTTCACCATTCAATTTTAATCCTCCAGGCAGGAGACAGGACCTGACTCTGATCCTGTGTTCCTCAGGGTGTCCCCAGGACACAGAGAAGTCCTTCCCACACTGGTCACTCACATGATTCAGAAAATAGTGAGGAGATGCACACATTCTGTCAGGGAGTGCACCAATACTTGTGGGGGACTGCAGGGAAGTTCTTAAAACTGCAAAGCTGTTGCAGCTGGCATTTGAGTTGTGTGTTTTGCAACAGAGCAACTGTGGGAGCCAACTCTTTACACAAAGAAAGTGGAACATCTCTTAGAATATGAAAAAGATAAACATGTGTGAAGAACAAAGCTGATCTGCAGTTGCAGCTTTATATTTTGCACAATCTGGGGTGGGAGGGATCTTTATTTTCAAGTCCCATGTCCCAAACAAAGCACAAAGTCCATCTGAGCATTCCTGCATTTATTCAGACAAAACTGGTTTTTGTTAAATAGAGTACATGCCTTCAAGGTCAAGATCTTAAATGTCCCAACTAACACATTTTACTGTATGACTCCCCTAACCCCCAATTAGCCAGGCTAATATTACTTCAAATGAACAATTCTTCTGGGAAATGAGAGGGTAGCAACTTTCTCTATAATTTTTCTAAGTACACAATGTAAGGAATGATTCCAGAAACCTGAACTGGGAACAGATTCCCAAAGCCATATTCAAGGTTTAATTGCTGGCACACCAGGGGGCAGCCTACTCTCCAGATCTGCGGGGAGCTCAGGATGTATGCGCCATCTTTATTCAATCAGCTAGCAAATGTTGCCTCAATCATAGACTGTGCCAAGTAGTCTATGGCTAAAGATTCAATTTCGGTATAATTCCTGCATCTATGGGTACTTTTAAATACATAATGCACAACTTTAGGAAGAAGGGCAGGAAGGAGCAAAGATTTCCATATGAGGCAGAGGATGCCAGAGCTTAGTAACTGTTAGAAGACATAATGATCACGATTTCATTCAGTAGCAACTTTCACTAACGTTCTACGAACTCTATTCCTATAACAAAGTTATTTATTGTATTCTACTCTTCTTACTTCTCCAGACCTCTTACATTTCTAAAATGCTTAAAACTTAATTCACCAAAGAGTGTGTCCAAGACAATATGAAACTAGCTGAACTACAAGAAACATCATTCAGAAGTTGATTATATATTACACATATGTACAACATTCATATACCCATCCATGAATGTGTGTGTGTGTGTTTGCTCTTTGGTACTATAAAATTTACACCTTCCCAAATCCATGTGTACATGGGTCCCCTTTTCATGGCACTATGTCAATCTTCTTTCAAAGACTGTTTGGGAAACAAAGAATTGGAGTGATGGAGGAAGGTCATTGGTTAAATAAAGAAACTGCCTTGGCCCTGACAGGTTAAAGTTTAGATAGGCGGAGTAAACAGAATAGAATGCTGGGAGGAAGAGGAAGTGAGCTCAGACACCATGTAGCTCTCTCCAGGGCAGAGGTGATGAAGCAAGCCACCAGTTCAGACATGCTGAATCTTTCCCGGTAAGCACACCTAGTGTTGCTACACAGATTATTAGAAATGGGCTAAATTAATATGTGAGAATTAGCCTAGAAGAGGCTGGATATAATGGGCCAAGCAGTGTTTAAATGAATACAATTTGTGTGTTGTTATTTCTGGTGTAAAGCTAGCCATGCGGGAGCTGGGCAGGACAAAAGGCAGGCCCGCAGCTCCTACAACACTGGAGTATGTTAGCTTTGAGGAATCAAGTACTTATTTGTCAAAAGCATTTGAGTGGGGCTGGACACACGGCTTTTGCAGAGGACCAATGTTCAATTCCCAGCTCTCACATGGATCCTCTTTTCAGACCCTCTCCTCTGGCCTCTGTGGGCACCAGGCTTGTATAAAGTGAACATGCCACACATGAAGGCAAGATATTTCTTCACACAAATGAAAACTAAATAAATATTTCTTTTAATTATTAATTATTATTTAGAACCTGTAGCCTAACATTTTCATGTTAAAAAAGCTTACAAATTTATGTTGTAATTATCTTATTACTCAATTCATTTTTGAATAGCTGTAAAACATAGTTTAAATTAGCTAATTATGACTTAGGTAAAAGCAAATCTTAAGAAAAATAACACAACTTATTTAGCTTTGTTTTACAACAGAAATTACCTGAGTATAGTAGTTAAAACATACATCTGAAGTACAAGGAATGGATATGAAAAACTTTCCCGGAGAGGTGGTGTCCACATTACACGGGTGGCCTGAAACCATAAAACATGCAGTTTGCATTATTTTCCATTAAAGTAAACGTTACTCACTTACAACTCAGGGATTGGCTTACTTTCAAAGTTTTAACACTGGGCTCGTTAGATTATATTTCTCACTGACTGGAATAGCTTTTGGTCCTTTGACATCCTCTCTCATGGCCATTAAGGGGAGCCCTATTACTGTCAAATTCAGAAACAAGTAAACACTATATTAAATCACACACAATACAGCCAAAGGACCAACAAATACACAGGGATATGCGTGATAGGCGCTGTGAGGACCACTGGCTCAGAGTGCACTGCAACTGGAGCCTGGCATTTGGGGCTTTGAGGTACATGATCTGGCTAGGAAACCATGTTAATCAAAAACATAGAGCACTTGCAAAACTCAGGAGTCCATACACATTAAGTTCCAACTAATATAGATATACATAATCAGAGGTCAATTGAATCTGAGTTAATCAAATATACTCTACATGAGTCAAATTTTTAAAAACAGTTGAAAGCACTAAGAACTGCTGGTAATGAACACAGTGACAATATTAAACTTGAATATACATATTTAGATTGCCTTAAGACACATGGATCAGCATTTTCTGTATAAAATTTTCTATCAGAAGCCCTAAACTTATAGAAAGAATCTGAGTTTTTATCATTTGGCTAGAGTCTGACTGCTTTATTAAGAGTCTCCAAAAAAATTATAATTATAAACTTGTGAACTTTGAAACGAGTAATGGTTTTATTCTAACTTAAACTCAGTCCACCAAAGCCTGCACACCCAAATAAAATGTTTTTCTTTGTTCCAACAGATGAATTACAAGGCATTTGTCTTCACTGAATATCATATATTTAAAGCATTTTATGTGTGACTTTGTCTCTTCCTCTATCTAAGCGATCTTTAAATTGGCCCACTATAACAGCAGATAAGAACACCCACTGCATGTCACCTGAGCCACTGCATAACACATCTGATTCCAAACATTAATAGATTCTGTCTTCTTACCACACATTCAACACCTAATACATAACCTAGAACATGGATCATACTCACAATGAATCTATCATGTCATAAATTGTTTTTAGGAGCACCTTACAGCCAATTATATTTGGGATGGCTTACGGAAAAGGAAGAATAATTCAGTAGAAGTGGCAATGGAACGAGGCAGCTACTGAATGAACTGTGTGCCTGTTGTCAGGCCAACACCATTCTAATCACTGAGAAGAGCAAAGGCGTAAAATTTCAATTATGGGAGATGAACAAGTTCTGTAGATAGGATGCCCTCAACATTTTGTTAAGTTTGGGGACTGGGCAGATGGATATGGAGGCAAGAGGATTGGTGTTTAATTGCTAGTAACCACATGGTGGCTCATAACTGCCTGTACCTCTAGCGTGTGCACGCATGCACACACACACACACACACACAATCTTTAAAAATACTGTATTGTAGGATAAAAAACCAATTTGTTAAGAGAGTGGGTATTTTGCTAAGTGTTCTTACCATTAAGAAAACACTTTTCAAAGCCAGACATGGTGTACAGGCAATGTAATTCTAGCCCTTAGGAGGCTGAGACAGGAGAATCAAAAGTGTTAAAGCAAGACTAGCAGACACAGGGAGACCCTGTCTGAAAAGGAGAAAGGGGCAGGTTTATATTTCAGAAAGACAGGAAACTGAGGTTTTAGAATCAGAACAACACAGATTAGGTAGCCTATCTTCACGTTGAAATCTTGAGTAAATAATATAATTCTCTCAATTTCAATTTCATAACCCATATGATGAAGATAACATCCAAACACCAGACGTCTAATAGACAATGAATGATATGTATAAAGTGACTGGTTCAGGGAGTACAATGTTGTCATTTGTCCACAAAACATATGTATGTAAATATGCACTAAAATATTGATGGATCACCTGTTTTAAATTGTACCGATTTACAATTTTAGATTAGTAATTAACATATCAATTTACAAAATAAAGTACTTTAAGATCTCACAGTCACAACACAATGCAATCATAGTAGTTTAGTGATTATATATTCTTGTTCATACAAGCCACTCTATGTTTCAAAAAGGTTGAATAGAAAACTGACCTCTCCGTGATTGAAAAAGTAGCACACCACTGTAATCAGACCTCCTAGTTGACTCCCGCTGTAAAAATAATAAAGTACACAGTCATAGCATGCAACATATAGGCTCTTCCCACAAAATTATATCACAATTAAAACCATAATTTTCTATGTTTAAAACATGAATAACTAAGTCATAAAACCACAAATATTTCCCCAAAGCCTGTGTAGTTGGCTTTTTAATCCTGGCTGTATAAAAACACAAAGTTCACATGAATACAATCTCAGTTTTACAATTACATCAAAATATTTTCTAAATAAACCATGACCAAAAATAATTTTAAACACACAGCCCAGTCCTTTGGTCTGTATGCCGTTCTGTCAATAATGTAAATGGGCCAATTGTGTCTTTGGAAATTAGGCTTAAGCGACTGAGGATTAAAGCCAAAAGACTAACCGCTTCACTTCGCAGAAACTCATGACCGTTTGATTGACTGCAATGACTCTGATGGAGCCACACTGTAGACTCTACACAGCAGACCTACAGGGCCTAATAATCATCACAGACTCTCAGATCCATGTTGTATGGGGGTTTTTGTCTTGTACATTTATCCACGGCCCATATCCCAGGCCTCTATATTATAAACATGAAGCCTGCAGACTCTATATATGCCTACTCCTCACTGTTTGCTTAGTTTAAAATACAATAAATATTGGTGAAATGAAAAGAGGATTAAAGAATGAGATGAAAAATAAAAACAAAAACAGCAAGCTGTGGTAGCAGCCCTGAGCACTGTGTACAGGTAATAAGGTAATAAACTACGGAAGAGCTGAGTGAGGAGTGAAATGATGTTATAAGTTGTTGTCAGCTTCCTTACATTGACCAGAAGGGAAGCGTAACAATTCATTGTGATTTTACTTTAGAAATTTTTTTTAGTTAGCTTACAACATAATAGTTTTATTATAAAATTTTCATATATATATATACATATCTCTATGTATATATACATATATGTATATACAATTTTACCTTGGACATATTAAACCCATTATATTCTTCAGTTCCTTTCCCACTTTGCATTCTTTTTGGTCTACCTTCTCTTTACTTTCTCATATATATATACATATATATATATCATATATAAAATATATATAGTTAATTTCTAACCTACATTACATAAACTATTATATCTCTATAAAAATCTAGATTTGGATAATCATATATGCATGCATTCCCCATTACACTTATTTATTTTTACTTTAAATGTGGGAATATTTCCCTGCCTGTATATGAATGTATGTGCACCTTGTGAGTGCATGCCTTGTACCCAAGGAATCCAGGAGAGAATGCCATTCCCTCTGGAACTAGGATTACAGATGGTTGTGACCTGCCATGAGGATGCTGGAATATGAACACTGGTCATCTGCAAGGACAGCAAGTGCTCTTAATCACTGAACAATCCCACCCGTTGATCACTCTTGTCCCCTATCCACACACCCCTTAGTCCCCTGTCCTCCAATAACACCCACTGATCACTCTTGTTCCCATCCCCACACCCGTTAGTCCTGGCAACCCCACCCATTGATCACTCTTGTCCCCTATCCCCACACCCGTTAGTCCCTTGTCCTCCAATAACAGTAGTCCTTCCAATTTCATGGCTCAGCCTATATATTTTTAAATCTAGATTAAATCTACTTATAAAAGAAAACATGGCATTTGTCTTTATTGGTTTTTTTGCTTAATTATGATACTCTCCAGCTCCATACATTTTATTGTGGGTGAAATAATTTTGTTTTTATTTATAGCTGGATAAAGCCATTGTATATATCTACCATGTCTCCTCTGAGACTTTTAAATTTTTATTTAGATTAGCAAACAAATGAGTTTTATTAAAGCATATTCCTACAAATGTACCATTAATTTATTCTCTCCCCTACTTGCTTTGCTTGTGACGATGATTTTGCCTTAATTTTTAATGAGAAAGGTTAACTCATTTGGCTCTTCTAAGGAGCAATGGGGAGTGGGGGAATAATATGTGACTGTCATAATTAACTTTATGACCTGCAACTAGGCACATTTACACTTCAAACAAAATTGTGGTACTATTATCAATAAAGACCAGCTAATTAATGTGTCTTCTACAAATGATATTAAAAAATTTTGATAGTTTTTGAAACCTCACGTCAAAAAGAACAAAATTGGAAGCAACATTCTGCTATATAATGTTGTCATGATTTACACATGAACTGGAGTGATGTGGGATTCCCCTCTGTATGCTGTGAATATAGTTTATTACCATTGGTTAATAAAGAAGCTGCTTTGACCTATAGCAGGGCAGAATATAGCAAAGCAGGAAATCCTAGCAGAGATAGGGCAAAGAAGATGGAGTTAGGGAGACCCATGTAGCTACCAAAGGAGAAAGATGCTGGAACATTAGCGGTAAGCCACAACCCATGGTAATACATAGATTAATAGAAATGGATTAATTTAAGATGTAAGAGATAGCTAGAAATATGCCTGAGCCATTGGTCAAACAGTGTTGTAATTAATATAGTTTCTGTCTGATAATTCATTCCAGGCAGGCAAAAGCCAACCTGCAGTCTCTTCTTACACTAGAGTTATCTTCACTAACATTTTTGTTAGTAAGTCTTAGTTTTCAAAGATCCCCCAAAGGGTAAAATAGAGACCTGTAGAGTGTTTTTCAGTGGAATCTCATTTTCTCTTTGTGTGGCATTGGTTATGGAAAATCAAATCTACGAAATTCCTTTTGCCCAGTCAGTTGGCTTCCTCAAGCTTCCTTTTCATTTAGTCACAGGTATCAACCAGTCTTTATAGGCTCACTCTCTCTGCTAGTCTTTACTAGTCTTACCTCAGATAGGTACCATATATGAAGAACAATCCCATCATTAGTCCATTTAAAATAAAAATTACACCAACATAAAAGCAAGCTGGGTCTCCCAATCCTTTAAAAAAAGACACAGATTGATTAGTATTTAAGGAGCAAAATTATTTCAGTGCATTATACTCAAGAACTCATAAATCTGCCAAAAGCATTTGCTTTCATGATTCTTCTTAAAACTACAATCCTCTTTACCTCCATAGAGGATGGTACTGTTTGCTGTCTTCACACAGCCCCAACCCCTACAACATATATTTGGTTACATTAATACTTTCCCCTAATGGCCTGCTTCTATAATTTAATGGTATGTTGGGGTTCACATAATTGAAGTGATAACGCTACAGTTTAGTGTGGGGGACTTTCTGCAGAGCCACTTGAAGTCCCTGGAGCCCTGATTATTTTGTGTTTTCTAGGCTCTTGAGGAGTGGCATACAGTTCCTAACGTCTGGAAAAGCCTTAGTCTCTGTGATATGATCTAATCACTTCATCTGTTATGGTGTGGACAGAACGCTAGCATATCTGATACATGTAGTTGCATTTGTATGTGCATAACTTTCTGTGTGTTTTATACTCGTTGATTTACACAGTTCTCAGGCCAGGTTTGAGATTAACTGGTATAAAGGATTTTTGTATTTGAGAAAACAATATGAAAAACCTAAATAATTTCCAAAGTTAATGCTGCTCTATCTGCTGGGAGGTGGGTCCTGTGACCTTGCTTGCTCTGGTTCATTAACCCTTTCATCCCAAGACCACATGGCCTCTGTCACATGCTCTCTCTACTTCCAGATACCATCCATGCACAGTCGGTGTCAAATCTATATCCAGAATGATCTTTTTCCTATTTCTATGCTTCTACAGCTATGTACCCACTGATTATTTCCAGCTCTGGGTCTTTCAGTTACCTTGAACCAATACATGAAGGGAAACAACATCTATACTAGCTACTTTTCATTCTCTGTCAGTCCAAAGACTCAAGCTAGAAGCCAGTAGTATGATTCTTCACTCTCCTTCTCACCGAGACATGCTGCTTCCAAAATCCATACATTTATAGTGATCTTTCTCATGAACTGACCGAGAGGATATCAGTCATCTACCTGACCACATGGAAGCCACCACTGCCCTTACAAACGTGCTTTTCCCGCAGCTTGCAGTGATGCTTCAGGATGTAGATCTGTTACAGCACATCCGAAGATAAGAGGCAAGTAAGTCCCCAGCCAGTACATGGTCCAGTGTGCTCTGTCCTTGATTACATTCCCAGCGTATGAACCTTTGTAGTATAGTATTCACTATGGTTATAACTGCTAACAGCGTGTTAATAGTATAAGCTCTCAGAGTTTAAGACCCATGTCTCTCCACTCTTCTGTGCACTCCAAGTACCAAACACCAGCCTGCTTTGATTGGGAACTTAATATATACACCACACATCTTCAAGGTGATGACTTTTACCCTCAGAAAAGCTGATGATGGACACACTACAAAGTCTAGTGTTTGATGAGCCATAATTTCCATTCCTGTATGTTGCCAAATTCAAGAAGTATTTCACTCCTTAAACATTCTCCACCAGTGTCACCTTAGGCTTTTAAGGAAATCAATTTTTAAAAAGTACAGGAAATTCAATGTTTTTAATATGCCAAGAATTAAATAAATGTAGTAAGTAGCAATATTGTGGAAAATAGTCATGTGTGAAGATATTATAAGCACTTTGTGTTAGATCCATGTTTCTATGTGGCTATCAACAGTCTCATAAGGCATGTGGCAAACTGTTACATGATTCCAACGGAGTTTGATTTTTTTGTTTCTCCATTTCTGTTTGTTTTGTTTTGGGAGAGATGCCAATATAGAAGATATTCAGGGTGAGTTCCATTAAAATTCCTCTTATAGTGTGAACAAGGGTAAAGCAATATTTATAATAGCTTATTATTAGCATTAACTAATCTATAACTATTAAGTATGTATTTGACCCTTTGCCCCCCAAATGTATGTACTAACATTGCCCCAAATATTCTTTGTACCATCTCATTCTGAAACAAACTCTTACTCAAAAGTGCCTTATGTTGGGATATATCGATGCTCAAGTTAAATTTCCAGTTTATACTTAGGGATTTGGCCTTCTCGTAAAATAACTATTAGGTGTGAAATACTTATTGTGGTGGGTCATTTCTTTACTGTCTTAAATAAAATTGATCACAGTTTATTGTAAATATTGAAATGTGTCACAACATCAGATGTCTACGAAAACACCAGTGAGCATAGGACACATGCCTTCACAGCTCTGCACTTCACTAAGAGGCTCTATTCTGGTGACATTCCAGCAGGTCTTAGTTTCCAACCCAAATAAATCCATTGTTCCCACAATTGTGCGATACCAGTAGGCTATGATTACCTATAAAAGAGAAGATGGAAGAAAACATATTCTGATTACAAAGACAGATTTTCTAAAATGCTACTCCTTGATGGTTGCTTTAACATTATAAACTTAAGCAAATTTATTTGAGAAAAACTTATATTATTATATTAGTAATATTTATATAGATTAGTCAATTTAATTGTAGTAATATAACCACACAACCAAATATAAGAATATAACTCTGAATTTCTTTATTATTAAGACATATCATTTAAAAAACTGAAGTACAATGGAGTAACAGCTCCAGGGCTCATTAAAAACTGGAACAGGGACAAGACTGAAGCAACTGGTTCTTTTCAACCCAAAACCTACATTTGAAAGTTCTGAAGCAAGAAAGGGAACTAAAAACAGAGAAAAATAAAATAACACAAAATGCTCTCTCTGGGATTTTTAACTAGGTGAATTTTTGATAAAAGGTATGAGAATTGTTGGTAGAAAGTAAAAAAAGAATTTCAAAAAAGAAACACATGGATCTGACACTTAATGCTGGGAGTCACCTTGTCATCTCTTTGGCACTGACAGCATGTAGCTACACTTACTCAATGACACACAACTCTGAACAACCTCACAATGTTCTTTCTCAGTCCAAACTATAGATTTATACTTTTGTATTTTAAAAATTACACACTGTTAAAATTTTAACATTTTTATTCTTGTGACTTTCTCCATGCCTGTACAAAAAATACCACATTATATGTATATGCTAAATCTAGAATTATATTTCTCTTGGTATGAACTTTGACATAGTAAGGAAAGCAAAGCTTTGGAGTCAAACTTAACTCAAACTCTGTCTCTGGGGCTGGAGAGATATCTCAGTGGTTAAGAAAACACACTGATTTTCCAGAGAACTACAGTTCCATTCCCAGTACCCATGGTAGTTAACTAACAATCACCTATAATTCCATCTACAGGGGATCCGATGCCCCCTCCTGAACTCTATGGGCACTTTCACTCACACATGTATAAACCATACACTTACACATAATTAAAAATAAAATAAATCTGATTTTAAAAACTATTCTCACTCTGCATTTTGTAATTTCCATGTTTCTGAGTGAACTTTCAGCCTCAAAACATCAGCTCGTCTTTCAAGTGAACTTAATAGTAACCATTTTTAACCATGAAAGGAGTGAGAGAACTTCTGTGTAAAAGGCTGGCATAGAATAAGCATGAAGTATATTTAATCTTCTCAAAAAAGTTCTAAACTTACATTTTTAACCCACAGATTAGATTTTGACGATATAAACACAGAAAGCGGAACACACAAAACTGTGATATTGTGTAGTCATCAGTTAACTTAGGCCTTCCACATTTTTCATCATCTCAAGATGGAAATACAAGACAGAACAAACCCCCGGCTTCAGGTCTTGACAATGCCATCATGTTTTAACAAGCAATTTATCACATTTTCACAATGACTTTTAAGGCATCAAGGAGGAAACTAAAAATACAGTAAACCTTCAATAAGGCTATGAGGATCTTTGCAGCAAGCCCATGTGAGTGTTTCACAGGTAGCCTCACACTAACCCATATAACACTAAGCTGTTAACTAAGACATACATACATCTCACAAGTAGCATCTGCTCTCCTGTATCCCAAAGTCATCACTGCCATGGCATCTGTGGACTAATACATGTATTCCACAATTAGCACTGCTAGTTAGCACTCTATGGTAATTTCAAGTCCCCATATCTGAAGCCAGATTCCTTGGTACACTCCAAGGAAGCCCTCCTCTTCCCCTGCCCATCAGAGCTCTAAGACTGTCAGTTGGAGATCTACATTAAATGCTTGCACACCATGCTGGTAAATCTCACCTTTGTCTCTCTCTGCACTCTAACTTCAATTTCTGAGGAACTTCAGGGAAAATCTTTTAGCTCCATAAAAGCCCCTTCATGTGTTCAAAGCTTCATCTTGGCTCAGCTGAGCATTGATGACTTCTATACCCCAACAGCACATCACCACTGAGTGGCCCCAAGACTGAATCACAAGCACAAACCCAGAAGATTCAAATCTTCTAAGTTGAGTGGCAGTCAGTAAGGATCCAAATACCCACCCAACAATGGCAGCACAGATATCCATACCAAATGACCCAGGCAATGGCCTAATCACAGATGCCCAATTCCTATTGTGGAAACACAACACAAAGAACCAATACAGTATTCCCGTAGTCATTTTCTTTGAGAAAAACAATTTAGAAGACCCACAGTACAATAAACACAAAGCATCTGTTATAAATATGCGCAAAGAATTCAAAGGGAGTATGAATAAACACCTAAATGAAAACCAATACAACACAAACAGTTGAATAGAACAAGACAATTTTAGATATGAAAGATAGGATTCAATGAAGATTCTGCTTTATTATTTTTATTGTTTTAGAATTTCATACATGTATATAATTTGTTTTGAGAAAATTCACTTCCCATTCTCACTCTTCTGATTCCTTCCCTTTTCTCAACACCTCTCCCACCCTACCAACCTCGTGTGCTCTTTTTTAAAACCCACTCAGATCACTTGCTGATTCTAGTTTTCAATAAATCTAATTTATCACATAAATGGACTCAACAACAGTAACCACATGGCATTTCACAGATTCAGAAAAAGCCATTGACAAACTTCAAAAGCCCTCAAGCAAGCACCATGAAGGCTTCCAAAGGAAGGAGGCAACCAATGTTTCTACCCAGTTATGATGCCTAAGAACCAAGCATATCAATAACCAAAATGACATGACAACTCTAAGGGTGCTGTAGTATCACTCGCATTTCAGTGGTAACCAACAGCTCTCTAATTGGACTTAAAGCTGCTCAACAGGAAGGAAATCATGCCTAGCACTGAAAATTCGGGTAACTACTTAGTGCTAATGAAGTCATGGATATTGGGTGAGAGCCTACAACCACTACTTTAATAAAAACCAGCATAATCCCTAATGATGATTTGTCTTTATAACCACAGATATATGTCGTCTTCACCCCTCATCAAGGAACCTTCTCTTTGCAAAGGAAGGAGACCTATAGAAAACCATAACCATTCAAAATGCAGATCCTAAAGGATCTATCTTTAAAACCTTACCATACCCTAAGGCTCTGGGAACATTGTAGTAAAGGGAAACAGAAAGATTGTAAGAGCCACGAGATCAGGGAGATTGTTATGGTGATGTGGGAGTGTCATATCAATCTGTTGATTTCATTGGTTGAGCAATAAAGAAACTGCTTGGCTGGCCCTGATAGGTTAAAGCATAGGTGGGAGGAGTAAACAGAATAGAATTCTGGGAGGAAGAGGAAGTGAGCTCAGACCCAATAGCTCTGCTCTCTGGAGCAGAGATGCCATGTCAGCTCTCCCGGGTAGACTCGACAGCTCTGCTCTGGAGCAGAGACACCATGCTCCACTCTCCCGATAGCTCTGCTCTCTGAGGCACACGCGATGAAGCTCCGACCCAAGATGGACATAGGTTAGAATCTTCCCGGTAAGCACACCTTGGGGTGCTTACACGCATTATTAGAAATGGGCTAAATTAATATATGAGAATTATCCTAGAAGAGGCTAAATAGAAATGGGCCAAGCAGATCTTAAATGAATACAGTTTGTGTGTTATTTCGGGCATAAGCTAGCCAAGCGGCTGGGGTGCTGGGGACGCAGCCCCACCGCCGCTCCTTATTTCAACATTGTAGAGATTATGTCTCATAGTGAAGTCATAAATTACATCCATAAGAGCACTAACATAACTGCCCAAACATGAGCTAAACAAAGTAATAGCAATAGACATACCAAAGTGGATGTGAGAAGGCTCAGGAGGCCTCAACCTATACAACTAAGGAATGTTGAGAGTGGAAGGAAAAGTCTTTCCCAGGAACAAGCACACCAACTACTTATCCAATACCAAACAGTTAAAAGTCATACATCCAAGTAACATTATATAGACTTCATAGGTTATATTTAGGATTATATGTGTGTGTGTGTGTGTGTGTGTGTGTGCGTGTGCATGTGTGTGCTGTGGGAGAATTGTCTGTATTCTGTCAATCATATTATAAATAAACACTGATTGGACAGGCAGGAAATATAGGTGAGAAAACCAGACAAGAAGTAGAAATGATGTAATAAGAACAGAAGAATTCTGGGAAGGAGGAAGTTGATTCCTCTCTCTCCTGCCCTGAGCACCGAAGCAGCAGGAGGTGATCTGCTCCACTGAAAAAGGTACTGATCCACATGGCTAACATAGATCAGAAAAATGGGTTAATCAAGATGTGAGAGTTAGCCAGTGAGAGGCTAGAGCTAATGGCCCAATCAGCTTATAATTTATGGAGACCTATGTGTGATTTTTTGGGGGCTAAACAGTTGTGGGGTACCGGGCGGGACAAAACCCCCAACAACAAGCAGGCCCCCTTCATGATACATGTGTGCATACACATATGTGCACATATATGTATGCAATAACAATAAAAGAGGATATGAATTTGAAAGAGAAAAAGGAGAGGTATGTGGGAGTGTTTGAAGGACAGAAAGGGAAAGAAGAAATACAATTATATTATTATCTCAAAAATAAATAAAAAGATACCCAGGCCACCTCCACTGCATGCTGTGGCATGGGCTATGATGAACAAATATGTGATGGAGAAGTGGAAAAGATAGAAAAAAGGAATGGTGCAAACACTGTGGAGACAGGCAGAACTGGAGACATGGTGGCAGTGGCAGGTGAGAGAGAGGGCTGAGGTTGACACGCTGCCATTGCCCAGTAGGGTCAACAAACTAGTGTGCAGCAGTAGCCTGGAGCTTATGCTGACACAGACTCAGCTCCCGAGGCCACCCTGACTCGGAAGCCCCCTTGATCTGGGCAACAATGGATGACTTCTGCCACGGTCCTAGCCATGGCTGGTTCTTATGTTCCAGGTTAGGAGCATGTGGGTTAGAAACATTAGGTAGCAGGAAGAAAGATAAGAATCACAGAGACACAGGATAGTAACAAAAGAGCAATTCAGTGA